CATAAACTGTACTCTTTCAATGTCCTAGAAATAACGTCCTATGGACGTCCTAGTCGGTACTTTCAATATGTTGTCCCTGCGAGGACGTTAACTTACACCTCGCCGACGAATGATTGCTCGTAGGCTATAAGTACTCCTCGTCAATGTCCTTCACGTAAGTCCATTGGACATCCTTGGGAAAGTTTTTGGGGACCTTCTACGGACCATCAACTCAAGTGGATGTCCTAATCAGTTATGCAAGATCTGGTCCTAAAGGGACCCAGATAAATTCAAATTCAAGAATAATTCGTACGTCCCTGGGACATCCTATGGATGTTCTAAGGACGTCCTCTATAGTGCTTGATGAGGAATACTGTAGGATTTAGGTATTTGATAGTTGTCCCAGGGACGTCCCTCAAGGTCGTCCCTAGTTGGTCCTCAAGTGGGACATTTGTGCGTCCTACAGACGTCCAATGGACGTCCACGTTACCAAATTCGAACGTCCTATGGACGTCCTGAATGTCCGTCAGGACGTCCTAAGGATATCCATGGGACATAAGTGTGTTATTAGGGAAGCGACCTATGGAAACCAATCGTATCAACCAAAAACTCTCTGCATATCGGATGGTGCACTTTGTTTGCTGGAAAGGAGTCGGTTACATGCATACATACCTATACAGATGAAGCTAATGAAAAGGTGCTACTTATTGTTTATTGTCGATGAAATGAACCGTTTTCGGAGAGAATAATAATAAACAATCAATTCATTTTTGTAGTAGACGCCACGGTGCCCAGCATGTTGAACCCTATTATGAAGTTTTCGATTTTGTGTTCAGTTTTTATCAAATATAAAGGATTGATTCACAAGCTTTCGTGGTATTTTTTTGAAAATGGTGAAGGCAGTTCTGGCGTTGCCCCAATTTGAATACGCCATTGCAGCGGATATTGATGATAAAAATTCAGCCAAAAGTCATGAGTAGATCATTGACCGTGAAACGGAACATCACATCTGCTCGAGTTGGAAGTAACCCTTTCCTGACCCTATTTATATCTACATGTACATTTCTTGATAAGACTAAAAATAATAGTTAGATTACCTACTACTTTGAGAAGATAACGTGACTTGGGTTTGATCTAACCGAACGTAACAGAAGACGATAAAATGAGGCATCGAGTTGAAGATTATCAGGAATGGACAATTAGAAAAATTATGAATGTAATGATATAGACGTTGCATAGATAACGACCAGAATAACACAATAAATTGTTTAACCAGTGGCGGAACAGGATGTCGCCTTGAAAATAAGATGGGCAATAATTATATGATATTATGCACTTGACAAAGAAAATATCAATAACTACTCAGAAAATGTATATGCAAAGTCAGGAAGAGTTGATATTATCATCAATGTATCGAATGGATACACACAAAACAAAATTTCTCCCATTCCTCAGCAGAAATATAAATTGAATTTCTTTCAAGATAATTCTTCCGTATACGACGTAGTGAAGGAAAGATCAGACTCATACATTCTATTCTTGAAGCAGAACGAATATTCTTTTATAGATCGGATCATTAAGTGAACTTGATAAGTGACAAAAAGTACCAGAAAAATGATTGTCAGTTTAACGGATGATCAGACCGCGAAAAGGGAGGCTTATTCTGTTAAACATTTCAAGACATTTGTGATTATACAGGAAGTTTGAGATGTATAACCTTGAAGATATTGAAGTTTGAATTGTATTCAAAATTTGACGACGTGTTTACGTAACAATATGAATTGGTTACTATGGAAATGGATACAATTCCAAATTTCTGATTGGTGGAACTACTTTATATATATATGTCCACGTATATTCAAAATTATACATGGTAGCTCAGCTCAATTGAATGTTCAGATTGGTTTAAAATCATACGAAGAAAATAATCGAGGTTATACTGTATTCAAAAAGTGATTCAAACCAGGAAAACTAGGACTGAAAATCACACATGATTCTGATTCAATTTCATGCCTCGTTTCATGCCATGATATATATAAAGAAACATTGGGAGCACGAGTCAAAATATGAGAGGAAATATAATGTGTTCCATTCTAAAAATGAATGTGTCACGCAAACTTCATAGAAACCACCATGATAGATGGAAGATGGAAGTAATTTCGATTTGCAGGTCTGTGAACATTGTTCCTATACTTGAATCCTGGGAAAAGATAAATTTGTTTCGTGTTGCGAAGAAACTACAGGGGTGTTTTATTTTAACATTGCCAAACTCAAGGTCACAAAGCACGAAGAATGCATCGATGAAGAACCACTCAATTGAATGACCGATAGATAATTCAATATTGGTACTATTCATTTCGATTCAAAGCATCGTACGAAGGAAAATCAGTTGAAACAGCAAACAGCACATCAGTGAGAAAGAAAGAGCAACAACTCAACTCGTATAAAAGTCGGCGACTACTCACTTTTATATAAATACTTCCACGGGAAATGTTCCTCATAAATCTCTGCTATAATTCCATTACTAGCAATACCAGTCAGACGAACTCGACAGGACCAGTCAGCACATCCCTTTGTCGTTTACCTCGAAAAATGTCGAACAACACTCAACCAAAACTCGTTCATCTATAGATCGGCAAAGCTTCGGAATTCTTTGCCAATGGAAGTATTCCCAAGAACCTATAACCTCCAAAAGGAAAAAAGAATTCAACACCTGCCTCCTCTCCCTGTCCTCCCTAGGTTCGAGCGATGTTTCACGAACATTATAGGAATTCCCTTACGTGCGCTCCAAGAAATAATCACGGAGTTATAGTCGTCATCAGCTGAAGGGAATCTTCCAAAAATTTATTACATAGAGACCCTTGATTTTCAATATTTTCTTCGTCAAAGTAATCGTCGTCGTTTTCATAAACTTTACTATTGGTGACGATAATATTTCTTGGGAATTACCGTGGGTACTTACATTGTTTCTTGCTAAACTTGCCAATTGAATACACTTGGCACCGGTATTTGCCTACTCAATTATCGCGACTTGATTTGTTTTGCCTTTGCCAACGTTAACATTTTTCTATTTATTTATATCCAACTTCTGGCAGAGTGTTCATCAGCTTACATTTTGATCAAGATAATCCAAAAATATCTGTCAGTTCTCATATTGGAAACATGATAATGATGAAATAAGTACATAAAATATTATTTATACATATTTTTGTGATCTAGTCTTCTCGTCTCTTGATGAAAATATCAATTCTTTTTCTATGGTACGAATGAATCAAATGATATATGCCAAAATGTTGAAAAATTTCACTAAAATTCACTATATGAAACCTGATAGTCAGTGATCCTTTTTTTAAACAATGTTTGGGAAAGAGAAGTTATAGGTATACATATATTGACACATATCAGATTTGTTCCTTATCTTCGCTTCAATGGTAGTATCGGAAACAAATAACCTACACTTCTTATCAAGATATAAACAAAAAAATCTTCCTCGCCAATTATTGATTCTTTGCTTGTCAATTAAAACTATCAAATGACAAATTTCCAATAGGTAAAATGTTGTTTACAAAGTGTAATCGCACGATTTGATCATGAATTCAATATAATATTTTATTTTTATCCATATCAACCAACCAAATTGTCTCCGTTCAGAAGAATGCTAGTAGATTATTTGATTCCTATCTCTGACTAGACCTAGCATTTAAATTTCAACTATTGATGATCTTATCGACCATCACTAGTTAGGTTAATGGATAATAGAATCATAACTGACAAAAATAAAACAATAATTTCAGAAAAAAATCAACGAATCCTTGCAAATCGTAAGTGACAGGAATTCGAGAATTTGTAGAAGTTGAATTCGAACAGCATAATTCCATCGTACATAATCCTTGTATCATTGTAATCTAGTCAAAAATAATACCTACACATATATGTATTCCTATTATAAACTATAGGGTGATAGATGTTGGTATTAGAATTGGCGCATTAGCTATGTGGAATTGATATATCGGATAATGGATCATTTGAATTTGTGATAATATTGTTGTGAAAATATATTGATCCGTTATCAATCATCATAATCTAGAGAAGAATCATGAATCATTCACAACTTTCATAATCTGAGGATTTCATAATTTTCATGTGAACTATTGAACCTTGCATCAAGCTTCATCATACTCTTGATCCAATATAAATATATAATACACCATTATCTTCATTCGAATATTTTTCAATTCTGATGGGATGATAAAATTCAACTTTGACATTCAACCGTGCCATTATAACCATTCACCATCTCCTCCATTGAAAACATCAATGTTCTGATGCTAAAGTGTTCTTATTTCAAGCATCATCATAATCAATATAAATTATTCGATGTTTTCTTCACATGAAATATTGAAATGGAAAAGATTCTCATTCCTTCATGTTTATTCCATATCACCAAATAAAACACTCGAATGGCTATAGGCTCAGGTATGGGTATGGTTTTCTGTCAAAATCCACGTTTGTGTAGAATCTATCTCCACATGAGTTATGCAACTATTTCAGTAATCGTTGATGTAATTAGGTACTCGTTGAGGTAAAGCATTCAAATTGCAGCAATCGCAATCATCATTAGCCACCTCACCCTTGTTCTCACCTCACCGAATATTTTTTTCATTCAAATAAGTACATCGACATCGTTGGTTCACAAACAGAAATTACTGTACTATCAAAATAAGGTATCAATATAATCTATGTGAAGCAATCATCATATAAATCATACATCATCATATACTTGACTCGAAGAAATTGTAAATAAGTATACAATACATTCAAGTTGACAATGCTTATTTCATGTTATGAAATATTTGGATTATATCGAAATTTTTCTTACTGAAAGTTTCATTCCGCAAATTTCTGCTAATGAGAAAATACTTATTTGAATATGTTCAAACTGTTTTTTTTTTGCGGGCGTGTATACTCCATAATTGAAGTATTTGATCAACTGATGCCAATTTTCATTTCCAAAAACTCACCTCCATAATTTTCCAAGGGTCTTTGAGAGCTCAGCATTGTGAAGTTGGGGATACTGATCCGCTAATTTCCTTCGTGCTGCTTGGGCCCAAACCATGAAAGCGTTCATTGGTCTCTTGACATGTAACTTCCTTTTGTCAGAAGCAGCTCTGTAATAGATATTATCGATATCAGTAGATGTCATTGAATTTCGAACATGAAACATTCAAGTGCTAATTATTCATCTTACAACCTATTAATATATATTTTATTGACAGTTTTTCTCCCAATTTGCATAAAAATTGTGTGCCCTGACTATTTTGAGCTGTTTACCAAATTAAAATATTTATTTATATAAGAGTCAGTTGTCTTCACCCACTATACCAACGTGATGGGATGTATACTATATATATAGTGCGTTGAATTAGATATAAGGATTGTAATGAGTTACTATCGCACTAGTGCAAATTGAAATATGTTTATAGTCACATTTCGGTCTTTTTGATATTATGATGCCAAATTTTGGTCATGACTCATAAAATGTTCATTGTGGGTATAGTGAAAAGTTCATCTGTAAAAGGAACAAAATGCGCTGTACTTGACATAATTGCGAAAAGTACATATCAAGTTAACCGGAAAACTATTCCATTCTGAATTGATATACTGCTTAATTTTTCAGAAAAAAAAAAACAATTCCGTTGGGATGCGTATCAGTCTATGAATAAGAGTATGAGAAAGGATATAAGGATACCGTGAATAATTTGATTTCCATTCACGTAAATCCATAATAGTTATTTATGTATCAAAAGGGCGTGAAGTAGGCGTGAAGAAGGCCATAAAAGCATTTCACCCACGTGATACATACAAAATTTTATGCACTAGTGGCTCATTTTCTCTAAAAAATAATGACTTTAGATTTTGATGGACTAATATTCCCCCGAATTTAATATGTTGCGTATAAATTCAGTAATCAAGAAAAGAGTAATGTTCATGGATGATTTATATATGAAAATTATCGTACGAATATTGAAATTATCGTAATATTCAAACTCTTAGATCCCTAGAAGATATTTATTCTTCAGAATTTTACAATATGCATACCCAGTATATATATTACTACCTATTTTTGACGTTTTCAAGCAAGCTGATGGTTGTTGTCTACAGCAATACATCCAATTGACAAGCTGAATTGTCATTCTTCGACTGAAAAGTGAAAATTAGTGATAATAATAGCGGGACTATGGAATCGGATAAAGAAGAAGTTTATGATATATACCACTGGATATATTAGGATCTAGGAAAATAATCATACGTTTTTCATGAATTGATATGTGGATATAAGAAAACTGAGAACAGCGGGCGATAAAGTGCACTTTACGGCCCGTGGGCCATAATGTGCCCGTGGGCGGTAAAGTGCAACTCATCAACGCCCGCAAAACCGGGCACTCAACGGTCTGCTAGTGCATAAAGAATATTTTGTGCCAGTACATTTTGTGACGAAAACAGCGATGAAAAGTTATTTTCAAAACTAACGAATAGTGCCATCAGCAGTATGCTTTCGATTAAATCAATTCTCCATTTGGATTGCTATAGTTATCTCGTATTTTCTTGGATTGTTCAATATGACCTTCCTTCGATTGTTTGGGAATTACCAGTCGGTTTCGTTGCTTCTCTGTTCATAATATATCAGAGAACATTCGTTTCCAATAGAATACAGTTCACTTCGAAATGTTCACTCGGTGTAAAAAAAGTTGTAATTACTGCAAAAAACGGTTGTGTCGGGTCCGCGTCCCACCTGCATGTAATGTGATTAATTCTATGTACATACATATAAAATTGTGGTCAAACATTGAAAATTTGTTGTGAAACCAGATGATATACTATTAAATCGCAGCAATATAAAGAAGAGAACACTAAGTTGTTAGAGCAGATAATCATTCAAGACAAGGCCGTACGATCCAAGATGAGGAAGTTATCATTCAACTTTTGATCGATAAACAAAATTATCTCGGATACTAATTGAACTTTCGTTGTGTTCACAATAATAAGACCAATATACAATAAACAATAAGAAGTACAGTGGATGAAGCAAAAACTATTACCCTTATAGAAAAGTAATTTCAGAAGTCGCACTCACAGCAGACACACAGAGGAATAAAAACTATAGAATCCCTGAGGGAATCTTCTCAACTAATTTGGGACAAGATGATCATGATTTCGAGCTCCATGAACATCAAATGAATACATATAGTTATTAAAAGCGATTAGGAAATAAATAAGTGATAATAAGTAAATAAGTTGTCATTAAATGAGGATGGGACGGGATTTGTTGATGCTGATGAAAGAGTATGAATATTCATATTAATTGTATCAAGAGACATGTTACTGCTGAGGAATTTATGAGCTATATAAGAGGCAAACAATCATTCGAAGAGGAATCTGTGGAAGTCAAGGAAATACCGTCCGACCCCTGGATGGTTGAAAGATCTGCTGTTTCTGCTCTCTTCGGCAGGAAATATGTGCTGTATGATCCAGACTTTTGGCCAGAAAATGTGATAATAAGGAAGTTCGAATCCAACTGTCATGAAGACCTCCTAAATGGACAAAGTTTATCCATCATTTCGAATGATTGAAGAACAGCGGGTGCGCTCAACCTCTATTCAATATCAATATCTCATCAAATAGTAATGATATAAGCATATACTCTCATGCTACTATCGAAATGAGGGGACTTGAGACAAAACTGGACGACTTCAATATGGTTTTTCATCAGGAATGTGATTATGATATAATATTCATAACAGAATCCTGGTTGAATAATGGCTACTTAGATGCCGCAATAACTGATTCTAAATATTCAGTATTCAGACAAGATCGGAACTATGAAGAAGCTAATTGTATACTAGTGGAGGCGGTGTTAGGATATGTGTCACATCTTTGTAAGAGGAAGATTGTTTTTACTGATAGTTTGATTTTCTAGGTTCTGTAGGTAGAGTTTTAGTCGCAAACAAGAAAATAATACTGAAATGCTCTGTATATCTACCCTGGTTCTAGTGCCGATGCGTTTCAAATTTTTTGCTACGAAATTTCTGAATCTAAGAAGAAACAACATAACATTAACAAACTTCATTATCACTGGTGATTTCAACCTGCCTCAAATCTCTTGGAGTTACGATGAACATATCCTCGTACCTAGCTATCGTTCTGGGCTAAGTTCTCCTGTACGAAATTGCTGTCATGGATTTTCAATTCCAAATACTTAGCTTATTATGACTACTCTACGCAGTCAACAATCCACTTCGAACCATTTTTCTACCCCTTATAGTTTCCGTAATGACGGCCACCAATTTGTAAATATGTTTTGTTCAATAAGAGCTATACACTGAAAACATATGGATATACTATAAAATGTTTATTTTTGAATAATGGTTTGATAGTTTATGTTCGGTGGTTTGGATATATCAGTATTACAGAAGTGTGCCGCACACTTTTGTTTATACAAATTCGGCCCACGCACAGCTATGATTTATAATGCTAGAAGATGGAATCTATTGTCAGCAAGAAATATCCGCATGGTCGATGATTAAGAAAAGATAAATTCGCTTGGATGGTTAGTATTAATATAGAGTATGTTTGTATATTTTATATCGAAATTGCGCCGTAAAAGTAGTCTCGACTTTTCAGGTGCTACAAAAATTCAACCCTTGAAAATTTATGATAATCCTGAAGCTATAATCGAGTTATCGTGAGTATTCCAACAAGTGCATTGATGATCATCGAAATACAAATCCCTTCGATCTTGAGAAACAAATTGTGTTGCTCATCAACATAGAACGAATTGCATTTGTTAGGATTATTTAACTCCTTATTTCATGAATAAAGCAATGGAGTCATGTCACATTCTCATTTGCACTCGGTGCGTTATGCAACTACGTTACATCGATAGCAACTACAGACAGGACGCAATAAAAATAATGCCACGCGTGCCATGCAAAGGTCGACTTGCTTCCGCACGGCTCGCTCGCAATATTTGATGCGTCCTGTTTCTAGACGCTAGTGTCAAGTTTGATCTAAGTGTGTATAGAGATCAAGTTAAGGCTAGCGATGGCACTCGACTCGGGCTCGACATCACTGCAAGCCGTCGGTCCCTTTGAAAGTGCGGCAGCGCGGCCCGACATTCGTTTGATGATCTGTTCAACTGACTTTGCATAAACTTTATCTAGCAGCCAATCTACAGCCGAAACACAAAAACGATAACATCATGTTTTCGATTATGCATGGAAAGACGTTCAAAAATCTCTGGATGTATTAACTGAAAAGGGATATATTGACTGTAATAAAGATACAGAAGTTTGACGAATTTCCATCAATTTCTAACTACTCGCAAAAAGTAACCGAATTGAAGAATCTAAATGTTTCCACGGAAACTTGTTGGGTAGAAGTATTCAAACACTTTCACGCCAACAATCTTCAACATACAAACTTTTCCATTTTGATTGAATATATTACATGTTTGCCTGCTACGAATGCACCAGTAGAAATAGTATTTTCTGTGATGAACAAATTGTGGACACCTGAGAAAACCCAGTTACAAATTCCAGTTCTTGAGGCTATAAATTATCATCAGCTATATTAAAGCAAGTTTGTTCCTCTGAGAAATATAAATATAAATAATTCGAATGCATTATTATTGAATCTACACTCATGCACAAGCAAGAAAACCAGCACCCTTGGTTATAAGCTGCTGAAATATACTTATCCATTTAGTTATTCATTGAATGTACGGTTTGGGAAAACTTCATAGAATATTTATTCAGTACCTACAGTCACTGTAGAACAGTGCATCATGGCTGAGACTGCCAGGTTTCTCGTTTGTAATCAAAGATATATAGAAACTTGCGGTTCCTGTCCTACTGTATATTGAAATCCGAGTGAAAATCCATACTTTTCCGACCCCTTGTATATATCGACGAAGGAATTCTGCGTAGAATCCAGTGGCATTCAATCTTCTTTTCGGAATATGGTTCTGTTCTCGGTTCTGATGATACGACACAAACCTATAATTTTTTTTTATAATTGCATTACCTCGTTGGTCCCAGCACTGGGACAAACGCCCCATAAGTCGAAACTTGTGCGGGGTTAGGTAAGCAGATAAGCAGACAAACACAAA